TCAGCTTAGCTCACAACATTCTAGAGAATCCTGAGGCATCGTGGTCCAGGAATCATTCACTTCCAACTACAGCTATAAGAGAAATTAAAAGTTTATGTAAGGACAATGTAAAAGGCGCGGTCGCCAATGGGTTAAATAATATGGAAATAATATGTGAGTGAGCTTGTAGATAAATGAATATTAATAATAAAAAATAGTATAATGACAGTGCAACACAACAAATTAATAAAGTCCCAAACATCCAGAGATATCGCGAAAAATCAGAAAATACCGGAAACTATCTCCAGGCAAACACCTCACCGCGAACGAAGCAAAGTTTTTTAAATGACGGTGAAACCGTAAAATTATGAAACTGCTCCGATAAAGAAAAGAATACCATCTGACTGGATGGGAATGAGTCAGATCGGCCTCTAATTGGAAATGAATGGCAATGACGAATAAACAGCAAACAACTGAACAAATAAAACAAAGAGACGGTGGATCATTACCCATCCATAAGTCGTTTCCGATTGATTATTTATGAGAATTTCTATTCCTATCACCCAGAAATAGCCTAACCGGGAGAGAATAAAACTGGTTTGGAACAACAACAATGAACGATGTTACGAGACGTCGGAAGGACGGACGGTGTTTCTGAAAACATCCCTGAAAAATGTCCGTCGGTGTCATCGTAGCGGCAGCAGCAGCAGCAGAAAACTGTTGACTGAAAAATGAGCGGCGGAAGTGAGCGGCACATCGAGCCAGACCGCCGAGGACGATGGTGGGGACGAAATGAGATGCAATGTGTGAAAAAGGTTAGCGGACGGGGACAGGGTGGGCCAGTCATCCGATTCCCCGGGGAAAAATGATATTTCAGTAGTGGAACAGGTTGATCGACGACTAGAGAGGGATGATCAGACTGGGGACTGATCGATGTCGACAACAACACTGTCCACGCCAATCAATTCGGCCGACACACATCAGATAGCGGCTGACAGACTGTTGGTGACATCGTCCGCCCGTCGGTCCGTACGAGTCATCGCTGTAGCTAGTACTGATTCGTCCTTCCAAGACTTCAGATGTGGGAAGCCTTTTCTGGCCCCACTGGGTAGCACCTCAGCACTGTTTACTTAGTCTCTGCCACACTATTGATTACCAAATGTCAAAACAAATAAAGACAAAAGGTTCGTTCAACTGGAGGAGGGGGCGACCGAGCTGAATCACAATGGAAACATCAGACAATCGCTACATTCAAAGGAGTCATTCGCTGACATACCAAATTAGCCATTCCCAATCAGCTGCTCCGGCAGAACCCTGAAAATTACCAGAAAACCCCGAAAAACTTCAAGAAACACGAGATATTGATCGATAGGAGTACAGTAAACAAAAATACAACGAATTATTAGTCAAAAAATCAGAATGGAGGCTCGAATGGACCGGAATTCGACCGGAATTCCATGGGAAACTATGAAGGCCGTCACTAAATGTGCGAGAGGTCGAGCGACCGGCACAACAGGCGGCAGAGTGTGTTTGTGTGTGGTGCAGACACGCAGAGCGCGTTGCAAATGCAAACGGGGGCACAACGGGGGTGAGGGAGGGGGTCGGGGCGAAGGGGTGGGCACAAAGGGCACAAAGGGCAACATACTGGATTCTGGAGACCATCTAGTCACACTACGTCACCTAGATCATGAAGACCATCAACTTCTTTTCATTGACGGTACCTACCGAAACCCGTGGAGAGCAATGGGTTTCCTATAGGATACTGGGGATTTATAGTTAAGCTACCGTAACCATTGAAGAACTCTAGCAATACGGACTTTACCGTAGTCACCATCCTTCATACAGCTTGTGGATCATATCTATTCCATTTGGGACCAGCAAAACAGGACCTCAAGAGCATGGTAAGAAAAAAACCTCGTTGGGATCCAAAAATCGTTGCAGGGATCAACTAATTCAAATTCCGAGAGT